GAAGTCAATATCTCAAACCGTTTCAAAATGGCGGCCGGTTAAAGTTCAAAATGGCCGGAAATTCACACCGGTTATTTGTCGATGGATTTGCGCAAAAATCGGTATGTAGGGGTATTTTGACACGAGAAAAACGAAGTTAACGTTAGATTTTCAAAAAACCGAAATCTCCAAAATGGCCGCCGGTCAAAGTTTAAAATGGCCGAAAATTTTCACCTCGGTTTTTTGCTGATGGATTTGCCTAAAACTTGGAATTTGAGAGTATTTTGGCATGAGATAAACAAATTTGAACTTACATTTATAAAAAAAACAATTTTTGTTTATTTTGAACCTTAACCGGCGGCAATTTAGGAAATTTCGGTTTAATTGAAAATCTAACGTCAAATTTGTTTTTCTCGTGTCAAAATACCCCGACATACCGATTCTCGCGCAAATCCATCGACAAATAACCGGTGTGAATTTTCGGCCATTTTTAACTTCAACCGGCCGCCATTTTGGAACGGTTTGAGATATTGACTTCGGGTTTGCGCGAAAAGTTTTCTTTTTATATGCTCTTTCGAACGAGCTATCACAAAGGGGTTCTTCCTATTTGAAAATTAAAAGTTAAGGGCCGTTGCCCCCCCCCCGAGGGGGGCCCCCCTGAAAATTTTTGGGGGGCCAAAAAGTAGCTCCCTTTGACCTAGGAATATCCCCAAAGTTTCAAATCTTTACCTCAATTAGGTAAAAAGTTAGAGGGGGTGGAAGAGACTTTTGGATCACCCTGTAGATCAAACGTCTATTTTTTGCAAGATTAGTTTTGACACTGACTTTTCAATAGGATGATATTATGTATTATAAGCGCACGGTAGAGCGCTAGACGGCAATAAAGAAACCTTAAAACAAGACTAAAGCAACAAAAGAAACCTAAGTGTATGATTAGATGTATCGGTTGAAATTGAAGGCTGACTATATACTGTAATGTAACGTAGCGCGCGTAAGCTTATATACACGAAAATCAACTTAATATCGCAATTATTGGGCCGAAATCGTAAGATTATACTCTCTACNTATTATGTATAGTGGAAAGCACAAAGAAAAACAGAAACTTTCAATTGTTAGAAATATGCACTGGGGGAGGGGGACATAACCGGAAGGAAGTGTGCAACAAACTGATGAGGCAAAGTGGCGCCTGAAAGGAAGTTATATCCGATCGCCTTTAGTGAAGCTCAACCATCATACTTCCAAATCTTCCATGTGAAACCAACATTGAATTGTAGAAAAAACTGAATAGCGGTAATAGCAAAACCAATGAGAATTCAGTTGTATCTATCAGATTTTTTTCATTCTATCTCTACACATGGCTAAAATAAAAATTTGAAGATTGATTACCGAGAGTCCATCGCGATACACTGCTGGCTTACTTTCAGTTTAAACAAAATTTACTAGCTTCGCGGTAACATTACTTTTGTAACGAAGAAGACTCCAATTCGAGCTGAAACTATTTAAATCAAATAAAAAAATTAAAACTTGCATTACTAGCAGTGATAACCAACAACTCATCTTGTGTTCACGAAATTTACGATTCAGCTCCGACTCCAAAACCAAAACCTGTGTTGCAATCCTGCCCTGTTTCATGTTGAAATTTTATAAAACCAATAAAAGCAA